TGTGGCAGCCCTTATATATGTAGACGGTGTTATTCTCGTTGGAAATGATGTGAATCAGATTGAACGGACGAAGCTCAGTCTCGACAAACAGTTCAGTATAAAGGACCTTGGCCCATTGAAGTACTTCTTGGGCATCGAAGTAGCAAGAACATCAAAAGGACTTGTTCTTAGCCAACACAAATATACATTGGATATTCTTCAAGACAGTGGATTGAAGGGTTGCAGACCTAGTTCGTTTCCCATGGAACCAAACCTCAAACTAGACAAGGCAGAAGAAGAAGAAAAGGTTGATGCAAACCAATATCGAAGACTTGTGGGTCGGTTGTTATATCTACAAGTCACTCGTCCAGATATAGCATACTCTGTGAGCATCCTGAGTCAATTTGTTGGAGACCCACGACATGTTCACATGGAGGCTGCAAACAGGGTGCTACGATACCTCAAGACTACCATTGGTCAGGGAACTCTTCTACCAAAGACAAACGACACCAATCTTGTGGCTTATTGTGATGCTGATTGGCTAGGATGCCTTTTTAGCAGACGATCAAGATCAGGATACGTGCTTTTATTAGGGGGATCCCCTATTTCCTGGAAATCAAAGAAACAATCCATTGTATCCCGCTCTTCAGCAGAGGCGGAGTATCGATCAATGGCTATTGCCGTTAGCGAAATCACATGGGTCCGTTGGCTGTTAAAAGAACTTGATGTTATGGTGGATGGTCCCACACCATTACACTGTGACAACCAAGCAGCGAAACACATTGCGAACAACCCCGTTTTTCATGAAAGGACGAAACATGTTGAAATGGATTGCTTCTTTGTACGAGAACGAGTTGAACGAAAAGAAATAATGCCTGTGCATATCCATTCCAAGCAGTAGATAGCCGACTTGTTTACCAAACCCCTTGGTTCTCATCTCTTACAATCATTACTTGTCAAGTTGGGCATTCGGAATCTACATACACCAACTTGAGGGGGAGTATCGGAAACCTTGACATTTCCTTTTCTTTTACCTCCTTGATTTCCTCTCTGTCACATATTGTATTTCCTTGTATATTCCCTTAATTGTTGCTGCCTTCCTTTTGTCATCGTCTCTCTGTTGTATATGTATATGTTTTACTTTATGAAATATATGCCTTTTGATATCAATTTGTATAGAATATGGACCTCTCAAGTCTCAACCAAACCCAAAATGATATATAAATCACACTCATGATATATAGTTAAATATAACTCAACACATGAAATGTTTCAAATATAAATCAAAGCATAATAAATTATTCAAATGAACCCCTATTTAAAACTCATTTACAAATATGTCTTTAGATCAACTAAGGGATCAAATGAAACAAACACTTGAAAGAAAATGAAAAATGTTAGTAGATAATAAGTGTTTGGATTGAACTTTAAAAAGAAAAGTTTTTGTAAAAAACTTTTACAAATAGAAAAAGGTTTTAAAAAGATAAAATTGTTGAATAAAATGAAATATCTAACTTATATTCAGTGAACTGAATTTAATAGTGCGATATCATATTGACCAATAATAGATATAAAGTTTAATAGATAACAGACTCTTCACTAGAAAATGATTTTTTAATACAAACTATATATATATATATATATATATATATATATATATATATATGTTCTATAGAGTTTTTGCAGAGTTATCCATAAATTATAAGAAAAAAATGATCAAGTTGTTTGTTAAATGTGGTGGTTTGTGTTCCGACAGAGAAAAATGCAGCCAGAGGGAGGAAGACCACTAGAGGTGGTGGTTGCTAATGGATGCTAGGTCGTTGCCTGAAGGAATGATTTGCCGGTGGCTTGAAGTTTGAAGATCGCCGACGGCAAGATGATTTGTCTTCGCGTACATTAGAAAATATAGAGGGGGAAACACTTTATCTGGTAGAGAATTAACGCGGACCGGTGTTCTAGAAAGCGTGCCATGATGCATGCCAATGTGTGCCATGGCGTGAGACACAACTCTAGCATTTCGAAAAGCTTCATGGCGGTGCTGTTAGGCATGATGCGTGACAATACGTGATGTAACGTGCTATGATGCAAGTTTTTCGTTTGAGACACATTTTTTTGATATGTCTTTTCTGATCGGGCATACAACTAATGATTTTAATTTTTGTTATTAGTTGTTATGTGATAGTATAATTATAAATTAATGCAAAATTTCCCCTTACATCACACCTTGAAAAATGCCACGACTCTAAAGCTTGTGGCTTGGCTTTGTTGCCACACCTCACGCCTTTTAGAACCTTGGTAAAGAGTCTCCACAAGGTATGATCATGTATCTGCTAAATGAATGATTGTTGAATTAGGTGTCTAAGACAATAACTAAATTGATATTTAGTTGAATTAAAAGCAAAGTCCGTTTGGGTTGCCTTCAAAACTGTAGAGGACGAAATATGTTGTGATGTGTCGAAGTGTCTTTAGTCATGTCTAGTGTCGAAGTCTGTTTTGATGTATTCGTTATACGTATTTCATAAGGGCAATTTAGAGTTCGAAAATTCAGTGTCTAAGCCCTTGTGTATTTTTTTGTGCTTCTGTTAACTCCTATAAATAGGGGTAAGTATACGTATTAGAGTAACTTTGGTGCTCTTTCATATTGTATACTCTCTCAGAAGCAATAAAAGAGCCAAACAGATCTTATGTACGTTTTGTGTTCGTTAATCAATTCATACTCTGATTTCAAACTTACACTCGATTCATACGAACTACAAAAACTAGTAATTAACTCGAATAACATTTGGAGAGAGAGACTGATTTTTTTGATTTATTATATGATTAATAAATAGCAATAAATAATTTGTTATTATATTATGAGATTAATATATTAATTAGAAATAATATTATTTAATTAATAATTAATCAGAAATTAATTGGAATTAATTTTGGGATTAATTAAAAGTGCAATGACATAAGCTGTAATTGTTCAATAGTTGAACAAGAAGGTATTCCAGAACCTTCTTGAGCCTTTGACGATTTTAGGAGGCTTATTAGGGTTTCTGAAATATTCCTTAAGAATAATTAGAGTGTTAGATAATTACCTAATTTGAAATATTAATATTATATTCAAATTAAGGTTTCCAATGCTCATTGTGTCAACTATAAATAGAGTCATTTGTCTCCTTATTTTTGACCACCACTTCTACCAAAGGAATAGTCGAAATCATATTCCCTCTCTTCTCTCTTCAAGTCTTATTATTTGCTAGGATTTAGGTACAAACCATCAGAATCATTAGATTTCTGGTGCTTGCTCTCTAAGAGCTTTTTGAAGAAGGATTTTGTTGATTATTTGCAATAACAATCAAAAGGTATGTAAACTCTAATCCTTTGTAATTTTCGATTATTATAGGGTTTCCTTTAGGTTCTTGATGTTCATAGATTGCTGCTATCAATAGAGAAAACTTAGATCCAAATGGGTTGCATGTGAACTTAAGGGTTAAGTTTTTCCGCCACATGTTTTAATTATAACCAATAAAACCTATCAATGATCATGTGGAGACATGATCATACCTTTAACGGCGACATATTAAACGTAGTAGCGGCGATATCGATTAATATTGAAAAAATATTTGGCAGTCTTTTTTCGAGGGCTTTAGTGGCGACATGGGCACCCCTAAAGGTGTCGTCGCTATTGATGTTGTACGACATTAACCCCTATACATTGAATCTACGTCTTGAGTTAACAGCTACGATTGAGTATCGGCAAAGGCACATGGATCACAAGGTGTATGTATTAGCAACGTAGTGACGACAACTGACTCCATGTCCGGTTTAATGTTGTCGCCAAAGTGCACATTGCCACTAAAGATGACGCTAATGCTTACATTTGTGTTTGGCCACAGAGAACAAAAGATGTACATATTTTCTTTTGAATGAGGAGTCTGAATGTCCATGACAGGTCTTGAGGAAGTAAATATCCTCAAAGGCCTAAGACGAGTCAGAAAAAAATCCCTTATCGTTATTATAAGTTTTCATTTTTAAATAAAAATATATTTATAATATATAATAAAAAAATTAGGCACTAAACAAGCCCATTTTGCCCCACCCCGTATGATGTGTTTTATTGCTCGAGGATCTTTTTCCTTAAAGCTAAATAGTTCTTTATTAAAACAATTAACGGTATCTATAATTTCTTTCTAAATAATAGTCGGATCGATATGCATATTTTTCTTGGACAGGTTTGTTTCTTTAGTACATTTAGATGCTTTAACTATACAACACTTCATCTAAAATGAAATTAAGCTTTGACACATAGATATTATAAATTATTGATGGGTTATTATCATCATGCATCATCGTATGGCTAAAGAAAAGAACCCTAGCTATATTATCATTCTATGTTATATTCGACGACGTGCTTGCCTTCATTCTAAGGTATATATCTACCTATTAAGAACATGCACTAAATGAAAAAGTGACAATACTACGAATCGTAATAGCATTCTTCTTTTTAACCCTAAGCCACCACGATGCACACGTATAGGATATAAAAATTAATTATGGGTCAAAAAGAAATAACATATATGTTACATTGTTACGTATGACGCACATATATACCAGCAAGAAAGATATAAAAAAAAAGAATACTAATCCATATTGACTAATGTGATTGTCCGCACCCTGTACGTAGTCTCTATCATACTTAGAGCACATGAAAAAGAAAATATTAAGATGTAAACAACAATTATTGGTAAATGGTAAGCAACAGCATTGAAGCATATATTAGTTCTATTAAAGAATATGATAATAGTCAAATTAAGAACAAACAACATGAACACTCTTTTGATTATGTATGTATAAAATTTACAACTAGACGAGCTAGACTACATAACTTTCTAAACTATGTGTATAACGAGACAACAAAGCTTTCTCATAAAACAACCATCACCACTCTCCTATATAAACATGAACATAAACAATGTAACAGTTTCAGCACACGTACCTTCCAACTAACACAACAAAGAACAAACATTATACTAATGGATTTTGGATCCAATATCTCAGTTGCCTTTCTATCCTTGATGCTGACACTGTTACTTGTCAGGAGTTCTAATGCTGGTGGAATCTCCATATACTGGGGTCAGAATGGGAACGAAGGAACTTTGGCAGACACTTGTTCCACAGGAAACTATGAATATGTAAACGTGGCTTTCCTTTCTTCTTTTGGAAAAGGTCGGACTCCAGTTCTGAACCTTGCTGGTCACTGTGATCCGAGTAGCAATGGGTGCACCAAATTAACTGAGCTCAGACATCAAATCCTGCCAAGCAAAAGGAGTCAAGATCATTCTTTCCATCGGTGGTGCGGCTGGGAGCTATTCCCTAGCTTCTGCTGGAGACGCGAGACAAGTTGCTACTTACATCTGGAATAACTTCTTGGGTGGACAGTCGTCTAGACGTCCACTTGGCAGCGCAGTATTGGATTGAGTCGACTTTGACATTGAAAGTGGAGATGGCAAGCACTGGGATGACCTAGCGAAGTACCTCTCTGCGTATAGCAAGCGTGGAAAGAAGGTTTACTTGACAGCAGATGCATGGCTTGGAACTGCACTTCAAACAGGTGTTTTTGACTATGTGTGGGTGCAATTTTATAACAATCCACAATGCCAATATAGTTCTGGAAATATCAACCGCATTAAAGATTCCTGGAAGCAATGGACTTCTAATATCCCAGCCAAAAAGATTTTCTTAGGGCTTCCAGCAGCTACTGATGCAGCCGGAAGTGGGTTTATCTCTGTGTCTGATCTAACCAGAAAGATTCTTCCAGCAATTAAGGGTTCCAATAAGTATGGAGGTGTGATGCTGTGGTCGAGGTATTATGATGATCAATCTCGATATAGCTCTTCCATTAAGAGCCATGTTTAGTTTTCATCACTCTACAAATTTATGACGTTCCCTTGAAAATTTTATTAATTTGTATGTTGCCGTTGTTTATATGCAATATTAGGCGAATCTCTACGCCCTTTGCCCATGTTAAAACTATATAATTCAAATTTTAACAATTATATGTTTTTGAAATAATTGTGTTATCCGTATTAATTATAAAATGATAATTTTTATGCTAAATTATAAAACTACAACTATTTTGAACAATATTCCACATTGACTTCTACTCATGGCTTTGCGCATTAATAAATCATAAATATAATTCTTGGTTATTGTTATATTTAACCATTTTTAAACTTAATTAATTTAAGCTTTGTTTATTTGACCACCTTTTAATTTCTATCGTAATGATTTTTTAAAATATCAACTGTTTGTTTTGAAGGTAATTTTATATAATTTATAATAATTTGTCACTATTAACTATTATTATTAAAGTCATTATGAAAATTAAATTAAATAATCTCATTATTGAAATTCTTAAAATATGGAGATTGTGAAATAGAATAAATTTGGGGTGACATAAAATGGATTTATAAATAGAATAATCTAATTGTGAAATCCATTCATTTCTTTTTATATTTTTATGTTCGATAATGATTGTATGGTCATTTTTAATATATTAAACATAACATATATTGTTAAGTTACTCTAACAATATATAACAAAATACAAATTAAAAATTTTAATATCATAATATAACTCGAAAACATAGCCAAAAATAGATCAAACCAACACAATCTTTTCGGATATCATATTCTTTATATATATTTTTTCTCTCTAACTTTGTATATGATTTGTATTTGTGAGTTATTGTTATCTATATAATTATAAATAAAATAACTAATTGTGAAATTTGTTTACAGCATTCACATTTTCCTCGTCGATAATGATTGTATGTCCGTTATAATTTATTATACACAACAAAAATTATAAAGTTACTCTAGTAACGCATAACAATCTATATATAAATTAAAAACATTAACATCGTAACATAGCTCGAAAAAATAGCCAAAAAACTGAAACAAACACAAAATACTTTCAAGTTTTGTCTTTTGTATATGTGTATATGTGATTTCTATAAGAGATTTGTATTTGTATCTTACTCAAACGATTAGCCTGTTTTACGGTACAAAATAAAAATATTTAACTTCTAATAATTTAATGCTCATAAATTATATCATATTAATTTGAATCTTAAATGATATGTAAATTAAAAAAAGTCTTGGATGGTTATTATTAATTAGTTAAGATATGAAGGGCTGTGTAGGTTTCAAATACATATGGTGCAATAATATAATCTACTTTAAATCATATTTATTTTGATGACTTCTACTATAGCGATTATTAAAACATATATATATATATATATATATATATATATATATATATATATATTTGAAGTGTTTACAAATATATGTTTTTTAAATATATCAATTACGTTCTTGTTAGCTCTTATATAATAAATATTATAATAAATTGGTGTAAATATTGTTTGTTTTAAATTATATGATAATGTAGACATCTTTTAAAATTCTATAATCTCAATTGTCTCAATAACCTCTACCTGCGGGTTATTCATGAATAGAATTAAATATAATACATGGTTTAATGATATTTATAGTTGTTCCTATGATTAATTAGTTTTAAAAAGTTTTAATTTCTATCATTATAATTATATAAAACATCAGACATTGTTTTGTTTTTAAAAGCAAAGATATAATTTTTATATATAATGTTACTTTTAATTATTGTTGTTGTAAGTTATTTAAAATAACGTATTTGGAAACTCTTAATTATTTTAATTTGGTTTCAGAAATTTATTTTTTTTAAAATTTATTTGATGAATATTGTTAGTTTCTTTGATTGTAATTATTTAAAACATCAAACATTGTTTTTGTTTTTAAAGATAACATTACAATTTTTTTATAAAATATTACTTTTAACTATTCGATCTTATTGTAAGTTATTTAAAGCTATTTATTTGAAAATTGTTAATGATTATAAAAAATAGTTTCGTGTTTTTTTGTTAATTTAGGATTACAATTTAGGTCTACCACGATCATTTATAACTTTAAACTATTTATAAAATAGTCTCTCGATTTTTTTCAAGTTTAACTGAAATTTTGATTTAAGTTAACCGTTTAACATTATATTGAAATTAATAATTTAACTATTTTGCATAAAATCAGGGCCTTTATCCACACATGTTATGTGTTGGTAAAAACCTCCTATGTGTTGGTAATATGTTTTACCTACACATAAGTTAAGTGTCACTATCTGTTGGCTCATGTCTATTGAAATAGATCATTACCCACACATAGTTTATGTGTAGCTAAAGAGTAATATATACCTACACATGTATGTGTGGCTAAAAGTAATGAGTGTGTGTGGGTAGAAGTATTTTGATTTGTTTGAGATGTCAATGACGTGACCATTCATGTGGCTGTTGACATGGCCGCGGACGTGGTCTGCAAGGATGACATGGTCAATGACATGTCTTAAAACTATGTGTGGGTAATAGTATTTTTATGTGTAGGTAATATTAGTATATGTGTAGGTATCTAGTCTGACATGTGTGGAAAAAATATATTTATGTGGTATTAAAAACGATGTATGTACGTAATAATGTTCAGATATATACAAAATAAATACAAACATTTATATAAATAGAAGCATACACTAAAAATATCATTATAAATTAAAATTTGTCTAACATAAAAATTCAAACCACAAGAAAATTACAAGTTATAAAACTTGAAATACTTAAAGTACCAAATATCAACTAGTCATAAATAGCTACTTTAAAATACTAAAAATTCTTGAATGTTCATTTCATATCATCATACCTATCAACATTTTCACCACATACATCACAAGATTGCCCTAAATGAGTGTGGTTAGATACCACGCTCGGATGTATCACCGTGAGATCGTCCTGATGATGTGGTTAGAGGATGAGGCATGATATTTTTCTCAATCAAAATTTGCTCTATAGATGCACATTTTCCTTTCAATGTTTCCAATTCATCCACAATTTCATCGTTACTAAAACGCTTAGAGTTCTTAGAAGAACTCGCGGTGTTACCATCGACAACAAGATTAGGTCCCCATCCGAAAAAACATATGAAGCTTCTTACAAGTATCTTCTCTAAAATCAACTTGTACCTCATTTATTCCACATAATGTCCGTTTCTCATCCTTTTCATTACTTCCTGTTAACGCAAAAAGTACGATGAGTAAAATAAATCAATTATTTACCAAATAATGCATATTCAACTATAGAAATGAGCAACTAAACTTACGTAGTTTACAACGATATCCATCGATATCCAACCTTTTTCTTCATCCAAATAGTGGGTAGGATAGAGGTATAATGTTATTCTCATATTTTCTTTTATTTCGTGAATGAACTTCTTGGCGAGTTCAAGTTCTAGCAATTAGTATCAAATTCTAACAGAGAGCTACTCACAAATTCAAAAATACCGCAAATGGTGTAAACATCTACTCAACTATGAACCTAATCAATAACAATTAATGTCATTTACACACGCAAAGCTACAAAAACTGAGAAACACCATGATCCTTCGATTATGTACAAAAAGTCATATACAAGTAACTGATGGTAAGATATATACATTCAATTTACTTTTTATGAGTGAAAAGGGCATGGGTTTGACTTGGCCTTTCATCATGTTCAAAAGGAAACACACATCCTTGCAAAGACTCATCAAATTAATAGAAATCTAAATGGGTTAATGACTCTAAGTTTGCAAGTAAACCAACAAAGTATTACTGTTTAAGGTTAAAATCATTCTAATTTAAGAAAAAGATAAATGTAAACAGTCGATAATAATTCTGTAAGACGCAGAAGGTGATAACATGAACACCGGATTGTGAAGACCGAAGAATAATGGAGTATTCGTAAATCGTACCTTGATTCTTAAATCTTGTTTTTCCTCGGGATCCCTCTACGAGCATTCACTATGTTTAGGGTTTTGTGGAGTTTCTTGGGATGATAAATATGAAGCAGCAAAATCATTACCTTTAATAAACCCTATGACTCGTGAATTTTCGGAAAGGATTCTGATTTCAAATCCACTCGTGAAAATAGGAGGGGATTACCCCCGATTACTTTGCAATGGTGAAAATAGGAGGGGATTACCCCCGATTATTTTGTGGCTGATTGACTTGCCACATCGATTTTTTTAATTTAAAAATTAGGAATATGACTTATTAAGGTAATTAACTTTTCGGTTTGTTCACATCTAGGTAAGTATCTTTTTTTGTACACATCTAGGTAACAAACTTGTTGGAAGTGTTCACATATGACCATAATGACCTGCTGTAGCAGGTTACATCCTAGATGTGAACACTTTTAACAAGTTCGTTACCTACATGTGTACAAAAACATAGTTACCCAAATATGAACAAAACGAAAAGTAAGAGTAGATTACACGAACGGTCCCTGTGGTTTGGGGGAATTTGTCTTTTTGGTCCCTAACTTATTTTTTTAATTCGGATGGTCCCTACTGTTTATTTTTGTGGCGCGTTTGGTCTCTGTCTTACCTAAAAAGACTATTGTGCCCTTATTAATTTATTTTTTAATTAATTTTCTTATTTATGTATTTATTTTTTATATATTTAAAAAAATTAATAGACCCCACATATATGTATCTCCTCACCGTAAAACTGAAACTACATTTGAGAAATTAATTTGGGTCTAATCAGTCACCATCTCAACTCTCATCCTCCTCAACTTCTATTTCTTTTCCATCCTTAGTGACATCGACGTGTTCACCATCCTTCTTTTTTTGGTCCTTCAACTCTGGAGAACCAACACCATAACCCACTGTCTCTTCGCCTTTAGTGGGTTGTGGTGTTGATTCGACGTAGTTGAAGGACCGAAAAAAGAAGGGATGGTGAAGACGTCGATATCACTAAAGATGAAAAATAAATAGAAGTTGAATAGGATGAGAGAT